TCTACCACCTGGTGATCGGATCCGAAAAACATGCTCTTCGCCTGTGCACTTATCTACTTTAACCACCCAATGACTTCACCTTCCGCCATTGTTGCCGCCATGGCCACTGTTCTTGCAACCACCATCATCAGACTGTCCGACAATTCTCATCAATAGCAACCCTTCTCCTATGGGCAACAAGTGACTGTTTGATCTGCTCCAAACCCACGAATCCTTCCAAAATGTGTTATACCCCAAAACAATCGTACTCTTTGCTCGCTCATTTTGTATAGATCCCAAAATCCCTTCATGATTATCTACATTGCTGTCAATTACCACAAGATCCGTGGATTTGTAGTCATTTGACAAGAGAGTTTGAGCATTTCCTACAACAAACTCTACTTGGCTCGCATCTAAGCTAAGAGCTTGCTTGGAATAGTGAAGCTCCTCGATTACCTTGACCATGCAGATCAGCCTACCACCAGTTTCATGAGATGCAACAATGAGGCCTTGGGTGGTAGAGCCGGCCACCCCAGCACATGCAACCACCATGAGTTGAGCGTTGTTTCCGGCTGCAATTGCCGATATGAACTCTGCAACATCTGGTTCGTCAGCTTTCTTACCCTGCAATTATAAAAAGCAGTGTTTAGGATATTGTACATTGAATCTTGGAATATATGAATGATTGTACTTTGATATACTTTTAACAATGCAATGGCGAGATTGAAATAAAAACGATTGGTTTAGAAAGTTGATCAAGATTTTTTACAAATTAATTATTAACCTACCATTTGCATTGTTTTGATGTAAGTTTCAGTATGGTAACTCATTTTCCTTTCTGTATTGTCTATTAATTGAAGCTTTTAGTGAAGAAGAAGGTTGTTTGAACTTGAATATGAATGCTTGTATGCTTTGCTCATGTGGGTACCGACTATATATATCTATGCCAAAATAAACAATATATGAGTAATGAGATGGATACATTTAATTCACAAGTAGGGTTGCAGGCTTGACTCACTCCCTTTCATCGGTCGTTATTAGAAGGTTTATGTATCCTAACAGTGTAAACGAGTTAGCCCATTACTCAACAAAGGAATGTCATGTGTAGGATAAGGTTTCTGATCAAGGGTACATGTTTCTAAAGTGTTCTTAGATCCATCAACTTGCTAAAAAGAGTGTAATAAACAATTCTGTGCAAATGTCCGACATTTTATACTAAAGTTATGCACCATGCATAAATTATGCCCCACATAGACCCATATGGAGATAATATTTTCCATCTCACATGAGTCAACATATAAAAATTCGTATATACGTACGGGAGTTCCATTATAATTGACTGATAATAGAGCACAAAACTAATTATCAAGTCGTTTTCTTATTTCAACACATAAATGAGGCTCCGACGCTCTATAATTAGGTATCGTTCATATCATAATGGTTGTGACCCATTTACGGTTCAATGCGAAAGACCATATCAACCCGATAACACACAAGGGTGTCGTGTGTTTGTCGATTACATATACCATTACATTTTGTTTTTCGTGCCCAACGTAGATTAAGATCTGATATAACCTTTGACTGTATTTCTGTCGTTTGAAATTTTAACGATCAAATAACTTGTAATGGTCATATAACTAATTATTTAAGTGTTGATAATTTTAATGATATTCAACGAATTAATATATAATGACAAAATAATTGACATCTTACAACAGATGAAAGACATCACGTGAGATGAAACATAGAAGTAGAAATATTTCAAATGTAATTTGATACTTTGCTTTGCCTTCTAGAAACTAATCTTATGAAATTATATAATTTTTAAAATTATTTGTTGACATTAAATAAATTTATAAGAAAAATAAGAAAACAATTACATAAATGGTTCTTGTGGTTGAAAGAACACAAATAGTCCTTGTGACAAGTTTTTGACACGGGTCCATGTCTATTTGGAGAAGAGGACGTGCAAATGTTTTTACGTTTGTTATCTTCTAAAAACAAACAGTCTGCAAGAACACGCGGACGTAAATGTCATTTCGCATTCCGACATAAGCGTCCAACTCGTAATTTTGAATTTTAATCAAAGACATATAAAGATTGCTAAAGTGAATGATGCTCTATATATTGACTACATCTCTACCATGTTTGATGATATGCTTCAAACTTTTGTTTCATAATCTTCCGATTTCTGGTGGTGTTTCGACTAGCGGGGCTACTTCGAAACAAGGGGAGAAGGTGTTAGTAAGACTGCTTCTACGATTATGAATCCCTATGTGGTTCCTCTGATGTTTTCAAAACCAACTACAAAGAAGAAGGTTGTTGTTGGTTTTCAACCTCTTGAAAAGAAAATGTAGAATGTTATTCCTCGTTGTTGTCTCATATTTACTTAGTCCGAATGATGGACGTGATGTTATCCCCCCCCCCCTTTTAGTCCGAACTTGAGAGATAAACAAACCGTTATACGCCAGTCAGGCCTTGGACTTGGGAGAACGCTCTGATGCCAAAGTCAGTAAACAAGATAAGGAAATTCGATATTGTATTCGAGAATGGCTTAGATTACGTACCTCTAAGGCGTTGGCGCCGGATCGATTTTATACCTTAGTGCCTAGGGAAATAGGGATGAAGACAGGCCGAACAAATCTCCATCTTATCGTCATTAATGGTGACGATAAGTCTGCATGACGAATCAAGCAATTGATTTGACTGCTACTGTTTCTCAAATCATCCTTGCTTATCGAGTAACCATTGCTTCAGGATTTTGCACTTGTCTCCTTATTTATCGGTCACGATTGATTCAATAATTCCTTTTTCTCTTTCACTACTGCCTTCTTCTTCATTTCCGCTTTCTTGCTTCATTACCTTTTCTACATGGAAAAAGATGGTCGCTCTATTAATCTGATTTCATCTTCTATGACCCAAAAACTACTAGATGATTTCATCAAATATTACCACATCGACCCTCAATTTAATCCCATACTCCCTCTTGATAACTAATCCATTATCGATTCTCATCCAGGCTACGTGGGTGTTTACACCATCTTCTTTAGATCCGGTCTTCGCCTTCCTACTTTTGATTTTCTAAATTCCGTCCAGAGTCACTACAAGCTTCATATTGCTCAAATCGCCCCTAATGGATTCAAGAAGATCATGTGTTTCGTGCTTCTAAACAAATCCCTGGACATCATTCCATCCTTATCAGTGTTTCGCCACTTTTATGTAACGATGGTGACCAAGGTATCATTTTCTATCCGCCATATCTCTATTGAAATCTATGACGGCTTGCCCTTTTCTATTATGAAATGGAAACCTGAGTTCTTTTTTATGGACGCTTCTGTGTTTGGTCTTCCCGTTCAACTTGAAGACCCCCCTGCTCGTGAACATGACTCTGCCCCCGAGCTTACCCATCAAGAACGTTCTACCGTTGATCGTCTTGTGGTGAATTTCATTAAGTGGTCCGACCTTGACGATTCAAACCTTGAACTTACCGGATTAGGCGATGCCGCTTACGTCAACGATAGACTCCCTGCCCCATGCTCCATGGTCAAGGGTGTTCCTTGACGATTCGACCGATGTCGATACCAATTTGGAATTCGAGCTGAGTATTGATTTTCATGTTCATGACGATGTTGGGGACCATACCATGGCCTCATCACCCCCCCTCTTGAAAAGGCGAAACAAAAAACCGAAAGTCTTCATGGCAAGCCTCCCACTAAGCCTCCAAAAGGTTCATCCAAGCGAAAGAGGGGCGCGACGGTACTTGATAGTGAAACCGTATCTGGGGATTTATACATTACCCTTGCCAGTAATCCTTCGAGCGTATCTTCCCCCAAACATCCTCATACAGTTCGTCCTTCTAAACTTGCCTCTCCTTCGAATACCGATGGTAATGGTAAGGGCGTAAACCCAGGTGATTCTATAGACAATATTGACCGCTCAACTCCAGAGGCCACTATCGAGTCATCCGGGCAACATGAATGCCCCGTTCATTCTGACTCGGAGTTATCCACCGCAACCGAAGCCACCACAGAATCCATTCTGCTTATCACTCCTATTTCTGTTGTTGAACCCATCCAACAGGTTCCTCTAACTACTTCGACTCCAACCACAAATCTTGCTTTCTCCATTGACTCTCTACTAACGGTCTTAGTGCCACCTACTTCCAAGATCCTTCCTATGATGTCTCTGCTTAAGAAAGGTGCGCCCAAGCGATCTTTTTGAGAGAAGATATTTGACATCCGTCCCCCGATGCCGACTACCACTGTCGTGACTCCTCTTGATGTAATTGAACTGGTCTCTGGATCTCATATTGTCTATGCTTCTATACCATTTATGTTGAGGCTTTAATATCTTCGGTTGATAACACACATCTCGACACTCCCTCCGAAGGTATGCTTGTGACTAGTTTTACTCCTTCTGGTTCAACTATTCCAAAATTTGGTAAGTGTAATCCTTTTTTTCTCACTTTTCACATTGGTATTGCCATTATTTATTGATTTTTTTTATGTATGCAGATTTTATTCCTGTGAAAAATCAATATCCTCCTCCAACTTTGATGTCTCTAGCTTCTTCTCTTCCTTCTTTCCTTCATCCTTATACATCTACCAACTTTGCCAATAAGCATGTTCTTAGTAAGATGACTGATGAATAAGGAATGGACAATGCTCGTCCCCACATCCTTGAAGGATTGCACTGGATGAACGAAGTTTCACTACACGACAAGGCTCGTTCTTCTACATCCGTTGTGAAGAGCATGGAATTCGACAAGCTTTCAGAATGCATGGAAAAACTTCGATCAAGTTATCAAGTCTTGGAGAGGGAGAAAACAAAGTTGATGTAAGAGAATATCAATCTATCTTCTAACAACAAAAAATTGACACTTGAGTTAATCGAATCCGCTCGAGTTCATGAAGAGATGCATAAGTGTAACCTTGCTCTTCAAGCAAAATTTGAAGAGGTACAAAATCAACAAACGTCCTTGGTCAAAACGTTAGAAGATATAACTCAGCAGTTCACCGGTTTAAAGACTCATTTCTCGGAGAAAGTTTCTAGCCTAGACATAGGTTTCTCCAAAAAGGATGTCTGCATGAAGCAGTTAGAGAACGAGGTTACTAGCCACCGTTAATTCTTGGAGAAAAAAGAGTCACGTCTGAAGGTGCTGGAAAATGAGAATGCTTCGGTTAAACAAGATGTATTTTTCCACCAACAAATATTCGAGCAGCATTCCTTCGATCTTCAGTAGCTGTCGAAGAAGGGTATCCCCTTATTTGTCCGTGCCCGACTAAATTCAAAGGATTTTGGGCATGTTAATGCTGCTCTTCAGGAGGCAGCTGTTCAGCTCGGCGAACACCGAGTGTGCGTCAAGATGGTATCCTGATACCCCAAATCATTAGTTGGGCTTGAGCTTCCCTACTCTTTTCCAGGTGCTACCGACTTGGTCCTCCAATGCTTCTATGAGCTGACAAACTTCAAATATTCTCTGTTTAAGATGTTGGAAGGTAATGATGTAGACGCTATTTCCTTGAAGAAGCAACTTGAAGAGATAGAGTCTTTTGTGACCTGCTCTGACGAATGATCGTTGTAGCTTTTTTGTTTGTATGCTTGTTTAAGATCTTTATTTTTGTACGAATAGTATGAATGTATCTATGTTCATGATGAATGACACTTGCATTTTCTACTTCTTCATTTACTTCTTTATTTTGTGAAAGCATACCCTCAGGATGCCTTTTATTATTCTTAGAATTGTGCTAAAAAGTTGTTAATGCTTATTAATAGTCTAAGTCCTTTATATTAGACCACATGAGGTCAGCTTTTATTGAGTCGAACCGTAATGTCTTAATCATTCTTTTGACTAACCGAACCACAATTTTCGGACTATGGCGCGTTTACGCAGCAGATTAAAGGTTGTTAAGCCTTCACACTCGCCAAATTACCCCAAATTTTTTTTGGAGCTAAGCTCTAGTAATTCCGAGAAAGGGAGATGATCAAGAGGCGATTAAGTGTTTTTAAGTCTTGGATTAGAGATGGAATACTCATGATGTAATCACCTTATCCATTTTAAGCTAGTAAGGTTTCAATGGTGTTCTTGATGATTTGAGCTAATAGAGTTAGATTATGTTAAGAAAGCTTGTTAGTAGTGGTAATGAAGGTGTTTAGACGCCTTAAATAATCTTTTTATGTTATCCACATGTAACGCTCGGTGCCCATGTACTAATTTTATTATATTAATTTATGAGTTTGGGTTAGCCACAACGTGGTGGTAAGGATCACCACGGCGTGGCAGCCATTTAATTGTCCACACATCATTGTGGTCACCACGAAGTTGGCATACTATGTCCACGACGTGGTGATGCTAGAATGGAAAAACCGATATTTTCGGGCCTAAAGCCCTATTTAAAGGAAGTCATGGCTAGGGTTTCCTCCACTCTCAACCTCCATCACCTCCAAAGTGCCTTAGATAAAACCCTATCATCCTTGCAAGTTTTAAGCTCATCTTTTGTGTTTTTGTGACCTTGTAAGTAAGAAGAATGAGTCTATAGTGATTGAATCCAACTAGTAAGCCATCTCCATCATTTTGTACATCTTCTAGAGTATTTGTGAGTCCTCAAGCTCCCATTTTTATGATTCCTTTCTTGTAGATCTAGATTTCTTAGCATGTTTTGGTCTATATATGAAGTTTGAGTGATGAAATGAGATACAATATGCAACTTTATGGCTCACCAAGGTCCCTTGAGCCTAATATCTTATGGATCTAGAAGTTAAATGGGTTTTGAGATACATGCATGAGTTTTAGATCATTTTCATATCATTTTAATCTAGTTGGGTGAAAGACATACATTGGTCATGCATGTCCATACAGTTTGGATTTTTATGGACCATTAGGGTCCCAATAAGCTTTCTGGAAAATATAAACAAGGATCTTAAGGGATTAATGACTCAATCCATTAAGCTGTCTTAGTATAGTCTCCATGACGTGGCTTGATGGGTGCTACAACGTGGCGAGGGAGGATGTTGCTACTGTTTTGTTGGGACTCTGCCACGGAGTGGTGGCATGTCTGCCGTGACATGTGAAAGACCCCTTTCATACTTAAAATTTATCATAAAGTCAAAAACATGTTACATGCATATTGATATCTTATTACAAAAGACTGGATACAAACCAACTAACGAGGTTTTTATAAAGTTTTATATATTACATAACTTCCCAAGAATTTATACACTAAGTACAAAAGTGATAATATTAACTATTCCACATCTTCTTACAGTACATGACTATACTGGATGCTTATCACCTGTAATAGTTAAACACTGGGAGGGATAAGCGGGTGACGCTTAGTGAGTTCAACAATAGTTACAATATACGCTATGCCATATATATAACAATATGACAGAAGCAAAGAGGGACAAAGAACAACAAAGGCATATGTGTATCATATGTCAGGCTTTCCATATCAACCAATGATTTGATTCGAAGATTTACGATCAATGAGACACAATAATTTCAGGATCATAAACTTGATATACATCATAAAGCTTCAACCCAAGTGGCATAGAAAATAAACGATTTTTGATTATCAATTTTCTAGCATATACATGCTTTCAGCCCTACCTAACCCACTGCCAATGCCAAAGTGATACGAGTCATTCTCTACATGGCCAAAGGCACAAAGCCAATACCAATGTGATACGAGACATGCTCTACATGGCCAAAGGCATAATACCAATACCAAAGTGATACGAGTCATTCTCTACATGGCCAAAGGCACCAAGCCAATACCAAAGTGATACGAGACATGCTCTACATGGCCAAAGGTATTAAAACTATTACTTGAATAACACAGGAAAGCACATTGCACATATAACACATAACATACAATTGTCCCTATATTGAACTCACCTTGAAATAACCGAATGATAGAATGGTAATTTGGGCAGCACTTCGTTTTTAAAAATGACTTTCTTTGATGAAACTGGGAGTTTTTATTGAAAACCGGGCTTTGTGCGGGCAGAGTTTCGATTGAAAATATTACTTTCTCGGGGTCTTTGGGTGCTCTGGGGCTTGCTTCGGGTGGTAGGGTAGTTCCCTAGGCATCGGGGGGTGTTAGGAGAGTTTGAGGGATGAAAGAGAGTGAAAATTGTAAAAAAAATTCGAAGAGTCTCGCTTTCTATTTATAGTAACCGAAGTCCAGCATTACGTTGGGCATAATCTTCATGTACACGGGGCGTACTGCCTTGCGAGGCTCTATGCTAGGCGTACTCATGTACGTTGGGCGTACTCCGATGCTTCAAATTCAAAAATTCGTAACTTTCGCATACGAGCTCCGTTTTTGACGTTCTTTATATCCACGCGTAGGTGAGATTATACTCTACAACTTTCATTTAGACTCCGTCAGCTAACTTTGATTTCATTTTTAATATTATATTTTTAATAGGCCGGGACAGGAAAAGTCCGTTAAAAATTCATAACTTCTTCATCCGACGTTCGTTTTCGTCTGTCTTT